AGGTTAATTCATGGGTTCGGTTCTGTGCTCTCCAACCCAAAAATAAAGGTATAGATCTGGCACTACGTGTAACACAGGGTAGTACAGATCAACATGTTGGACAGTTTGTTAAAGTACCTTCTTTTGAACCACTGAATATTCATAAATGTTGTCCCACCCTGCGAGAGTCACAGTGATACATTGATTTCTTTAAACAAAGTTCTCATAATTTCTTAATTCTAATAACTGTTGCTAGATAGGCTAGATAGGGTTGCTATATATGATACATTTTTGGGAAATTATGTGGAAAATGAAAAATAACCAAGCCTTTAAAACAATACTGAAATAAATGTGGTAAGTCAAATAAGTTTTATCCAAAGCTGTGGATCCAAAGACATATTTTTTGGAAACTTTGCTAACTCATTGAAAAACCTGTTCAAGTTCTCATGGCAAACCAGTAGAATAAGGGAGAGCAAGAAAAGAGATCACAAAAATTAAAGCATTAAATTATGTAGCACAAAATATTTAAAAAGAACCAGACAAAATTATTGTCAGATGGAGGAAGATGGAGAGTGCTAGCATTGAAGTCTGTCCCAGAAACCTTTTTTAGTTTATTGAATATGGCCTTTGGCAAAATGTAGAACCTCATGAAATATAAAAAGTGCCCTTTAACTCAAGTTCAAAAAGACAAACCGATGAGTTTGAAGCACAAAAACTGTTTGTGGATTAACTGTCAAATGTGTAAAAACAGATTAACTAATTAGTTTGGAGGTCAACAGATAATTTACCATCTCTTTTTGCTTATTTCCTGGATGCAATCAAGTAGCTGAAGTTGGATTCTTAAAAATTCAGTTCAATTCAGTTTATTTATATAGCACGAATTCACAACACATATCATCCCAAGGTACTTTGCAATTCACCAGATAATACAATCAAATTGATTAAAAGTTTTCTATCTAAGTAAAACCAGTTGATTGCATCAACTCACTGACTCTAAAGCAATCCCTCACACTAAGCATGCTTGTAGCGACAGTGGGGAGGAAAAACTCCCTTTTAAAAGGAAGAAACCTCCAGCAGAACCAGACTCGGTGTGAGTGGCCATCTGCCGAGGCCGACTGGGGTTCAAGGAGACAGAAGCAGACATACATTAAGAAGCAGATACAAAAGGCAACTGTAAATAAGCTCCACAGGCGGCCCTGTCCAAACACACAGCCAGGCAGACGGAGGATGAAGAGAGCACATCTAGCCAGTCACAGTCAGAGAAATAGGACTCCAATGAAAAACAGGCCGATCTCGAACACCTATAAACAAAGGTGTTGATGGCAGCAGCACAGCTTATATTTCTCTCCATAATGATGTCACAGCAAAACAGGAACAGACCAGATGAAGCTACTATGAGAAAAAGCAGAGAGAGCATGACATTACAGATTGAACTAACAATTGTGCAGCGTCGGAGAATAGCGATAGAATGAAGTAGAATGATAAAAAAAGGGCTCCTATGTCCTCCAGCAGTTTAAGCCTATAGCAGCATAACTAGATAGCTCAGTATAACCTGAGGCACTCTAACTATAAGCTTTATTAAAAAAGGAAAGTTTTAAGCCTAGCCTTAAAAGTAGACAGGGTGTCTGCCTCACGGACTAAAACTGGTAGTTGGTTCCACAGGAGAGGAGCCTGTTAACTAAAAGATCTGCCTTTTAGAAATTGTAGGAAACACTAGTAAACTTGCAGATTGAGAACGAAGTCAAAACAGAAATGAGCTACTGTTCTAATACACACTTTTTTATTAATACTGTAATGTACACCTTGCTTCAGAAAGTTAGAGATCCTTTCCTTCTTTGACACTGCTGTTTCTTTTACTTCTAATCTGCAAACCTTTAGAGCTGCAGTCACCATGATAGAGCTAAATATGTGAAAAAATTATTAAAAAGTAAATAAATCAAATTACTTTTATAAATTCATTTTGAACTTGATGACTTTAAAATGCATCTTATAGTAAATTTGTATTTGCAGTTTTTTTTTTTTTTTTTTTTACAATATTCTGTAGTATGTCCTAAATTCACATTGCGTTGTTTTCCTTCTCTCTCTCCTTCTGGAATCCAATGAAGGCTCTTAAAGTAGAGATGTTCTCATACTCAGGATCCGGGTCGAGCTAATATAGGAGACAGAATAGTGTGATTAAAATTTTTATATATA